TGTAAACTAATACAACCTTCACAGAATCTATCAGAATATCTTATCAATTTACAGCTGTTACATTCTTTTGGTTTGCCTTTTTTATATGTTGCATTATTTAATTCAAACCAATAAATAAACCTTCCTTTACAAAATTCTTTTTCATTTTCAGAAAGCTCCTTATTTTTTTGGACCAATGAAAAAAAATAATCTTTTTTATTTTCTTTATCAGAATTAGCTATTGCATTATTCTCCGTTTCATTATAAATTTTATATACAAATTCCTGTCTTTCTGTTGATAATGATGATAATAATTTATTAAATGACATTATAAAAAAATTTGACTTGGTGTTTTAATGAATAGAATGGAAAAAAATTTTTTTGAGAATAATTTTTGCGGAGAACAACGTGTAACAAACAATTTCCTCATAATATTATTCGTAATTCACATTTTTTCACTTTACAATTAAGTTTTTCTTTGACAGGATTAATTGACAAAGAATTAAATATAAATCTTGAAAATTGATGTATAAAATTGCATTATTTAAAGAACAACTTTATCATAACCCAAACTCTAGTTATAAATCTTCAGAATTAAAGTTTACAAAAATCAGTACCAAATCCTGTATTATGTGCTATGTAAAGGTTATTCTACGTACCAATATTGATCAACCAATATTGTTTCAATAAAGACAACTCGAGTGTATTTTTGTTTCATTAATAATATCATTGTGTATTATCATTACGCATAGTTAACCTCGGTCAAAATTCGAAAAAACATCAAGTTAGCACAACTTGTATGTTTATGTGTATTCCAAAGTCAGACACCAAAGACAATTCAAATGCGTTTTGAATTTTTTTCATTTTATGAAATCTAATAATATTAATATGATATTAATAGTAGTGATGATTTTTGGTTTTTCATTCAAACATCTACAAATAATTTTGATAAATCTGTGGTGAAAGGAGTTACTAATAATGTTCTATGAAAATAATTAAATATGGTTTATAATACATATACCTTTTATAATGGAGCTTATTGTGATTACTGCTTACTGAGAAACTCGTCCATTTATCCATGAAATTACCTGTCTATGATTACGATCACGGCCACCGACCTGTGGTTGGTTGGATGAGAACCAACTTGTCAAGTAACAACGAAAAAGAGTTCAGGTTACCTAGTAACACACAACATTAGCAAGCGAACTCATAACGCGCAATATTTTCATCAGGAAAAGTTAAAGTATACTATCCAAGTGTTTCCGGAGGCAGACAGGCGCAATTATTTTTTTCTAATTAATAATTAATTGATTGATTATTTATTTTATTTAGACCCAAAGTAACCAAACTCTAGCAGAGAATATTTTAAATTATTTATCATCTTGTTGATATATCCATCAAATGAAGAAGCATCAAAATATTTGAAAAAAAAAAGTAAAGTTGGAAAATATCCTCAAATTTTTGTTGATGGTGTATTTAAAATTACCTAACGTTAATTATATATTTATCGGGGGATAAATTAATCGATTATTATTATTTTTAGTATGCAGAAGAACTTGAAGGTCAAATTGAATCTAAAGCAGTTTAGAACAGCAACAATAATAGTGGTTATAATATATATATATATATATATTCTACTAGTCTCGTTGACAGATCTTTCTAATATTAAACAATAAAATTTATAAATAAAATTCATTATCCAAGTAAAATTATTGAGTTTGAAACATATAAACAATTTTCCTAATTCTAATATGAACCAAAAAAACGAATCCATATTACTTTGTACAAAAAGTTTATTAAAACAAGAACCGAACAAAAAAAAATATTGATTTAGCCAAAGAATTTGATACCTTAAAAAGTTTTAAATAACGGCTGATATAAAGCAACATTAAAAAATTCACGTCCTTCACCTTAGATTTTCCATACATTAAAGAAAAAAATTAATTTATATGATTCTAAAAACCTAAACCAAGGAAAAATGACTTCTTTGTTTTACCAATTAGTGATAACACTGGATTATATTAATATTATTTATTTGTTAGTATTAATTGTTATTATTTTCCTTGTTATAACGGACAATTCATATGTTCGTTATAACGAGGTTCGACTGTATTATATTAATTTTAATTTAATAATATTAATATTGCCCAGTCAAATCAATCGAAGATGCGTTAGCAAGTGAAATCCTTGAATAAAATAAAAAAGTTATAATAATTTACATAACTATAAATATTTAAAGTGATTATCTCGCGCATATATTTTCTGCAGACTTCAAATGCTTTACGCAGTAAATAATCTGCTGTTATCTCATTTCTTTTTTTTTTTTTTTTTTTTTGAACTTTATCTCGAATATGTGTATGCGCGCGCACACGCACACACTCATATATTCATTGTCCAAAACAAAATACAAGGTTTAGTATTAATGTCTTGAAAAAAAAAAAGGCAATAATTATTATGCGGCGTGACAATTTACAGAATTTGAGCACATTGAAAATCATTTATTTTGTTATCATTGTTATTATTTTTAAGATTAAAATTTCATACATTGATCAACGCAGAATCTAGCCAATAAAACTGTTTGAAATATATTTCCTTTAAATAATTATAAAAATCATGTCAGATTTAGAAACAGAATTACAAATTAGTACCGACGAAGAAGGATTAGAAAATAAAGTATCTAATAATCTCAATGACGATAAGTTAAAAAAATTAAGAATCGCGACTGATTCATTAGGTGGTCATGCTGTTATCGGAGAACTTTCAAAACCATATGATATCTTGACAAATACCATTATGGAATTAATCAAAAAAAATTACAATTCATTTGAGTTTGCACAATACAGCAAAAAGATTTGTAATTGTTTAATCGATAGAGTTGAATTTATTGAAATGCCTATGAAGAAAATTTTAAAAGCACACAAAACTTATAATAATAATAATAATAATAATAATAACAACAACAACAACAGTAACAATATGATGTTGATGGTTTTATTGCTAGATCAAAATTACTATAATAATTTATTAAGTCTAATTGCAGCTTTAAAGAAATCACAACAATTAATTACCGATTTGTCATTTCTTTGGAATTTACATAAATTTAGAACTACTAACATTATTAAAAGACGTTTTGAAAGAGTCACAAAAGAATTTGATAAAGTTTTATCAGACTTAAAGTTGGAGAAACCTTTTGATTTTGTAACACAAAAAAAGAAAGATTTAAAAGCTGTAGAACATGATATTTCAATAATTACTAAGGTAAATGAATAAATATACTCCATATGTAAACTATTAATTTTTTTTTTTTTTTTTTTAAAATAATATCATTTTTTTATTAGTTTCTTGAAAGAGCTGAAGGATCTATAACAGTATCAAAATTTCTAGTTAACCCAATTTTCGAAGAAACCATATTAGTCAAAGCACACTTGAATGAAAATAATAATACAAATAATTCAAATGAAATGAAAGTCAAAGAAATTCCATCTGATGAATTAATAAATATATACAATCAATTTGTGAGGAAAGATCAATATGGTGGTGCTGGCAATGTTAAAGTTAGAAAGTGGCTGTCAAGTGGTGGTGGCAGTGGTGTTGAAAAAAAGAAGAAAACAAAAAGTATTTTAGTTGCATGTAAAAGATATGAGCAACAGCCACAAAAATTTTTTGATAATCTTATTCTACTCCCCAAATTAAATAATTGTCCAAATATTTTAAAATTCTATGCACTTTCGGTTGTTAAAGATTGGAATTATCACAATTCAACAAATTCAAGTATAACAACAACACAAAATGTTTTAGTTTACGAATGGGTTGAGAAAGGAAATTTGAAAGAATTTTATGAAAAATTTAATATGAGTTGGCCTCTTAAATTAAAAATTGCTGTTGGTATATCTTGTGGACTTTTATTTTTGCATGGATGTGATATTATGCACTATGATCTAAGATGTGAAAATATTATGGAAAGTGTTTTATTATTTTTGATGGCAAAATAATTTATATTTATTATGTTGATGATGATGATGATAATAATAATAATAATAATAATCATAATCATAATAATAACAGGTTGGTGAGAATTTTGAACCAAAAATCACAAATTTTCGATTTGCTCGTCCTTTACATCCTGATCCGTTTTTTGATAATCATTTTGATCCTATTGAACATTGGATTGCACCAGAACAATTAAGACATAAAAAAAGATCAGCATATTACACCTATAAATGCGATATATTTAGGTAATAGTACATACTTGCATACTTGCATATAACTTAAATGAATACTCATTTAAATGTACTTGTATATTGGTTTATTTTCAACTGAATTATGTTTTAAAAACTTTTTTTTTGATAGTTTTGGAATGTTGTTATGGGAACTTGCTTTTAATAAAATTCCATATAGAGGTTGGAGTCCTTTACAAATATCTAATCATGTGCTGGCAGGTTTTAGAGAAGTAATGGATTTTGGAAATGATCCTAATATAATAGAACGATCATATTCTAAATTGATCAGAGCTGGTAAGCATCAAAAAAAGTTTTTATCTATTTTACAGACATATATTTGATATATATATATTTATTAATTCTTATTTGCTCCTAAAAAAAAAAGCTTGGCAAGATGATGCATCCTTACGACCATGTCTTTACTTATTATTCTTAGAACTTGATGAATTATCAAAAAATAATCCAATATCAAAAGAAAAATCTATGCTAGAGCCTCAAAAATATAATGATGATGATGAAGTAATAGAAATAATTTATTATGATGGTGATGGTGAGAATGATGATGATAAGAAAAAAAATAACGATGAAGATAAAAAAGATGAGTCACCACAACCTCCCGTTACTAATAAGGATTCAAATCTCGATCTTGTTCCAACTGTAAATTCATCATTGATGATGACTCTTGATGAAGGTATCAAGGCTCATGAAAATGGTGATTTTCTAAAGGCATGGGAATGTTTTAATTCACATCATATGATTGGTGATAAACTAGAAGCAACTTACTGGAGAGGTCATTATTTGTATGAAGGTTATCATGGTGAAATAAATATTAACGAAGCAATTGATCTTTTTAAATTGGCAGCAGATCAAGGTATTCCAGATGCACAATTTTCATATGCAAAATCTTTAATTGAAAACTATGATGATGATTATTATGGTGGTGGTTGTGGTAGTAGTAGTAGTAGTAGCAGTAGCAGTAGTAGTAGTAGCAGTAGTAGCAGCAGTAGAAATCCATTAAATTCTAAAGATAAAGATATTTTAAATTATTTGGAATTGGCTGCACATGGTGGTGGTGTTTCTTCTGCCTTTTATATATTAGGAAATATTTATTTATATGGAAAACATAATGTTCAAATAGATAGAGATCTTGCAATTCAATATTTGAAATTGGCTGCTTTGAAAAATCATCAAGATGCTACTGATTTATTAAACCAATTAAAAATCAAACTATTTTAAATTTTTCTTTGTATTTATAGATTGTATTTTTAATGATTCACATGTAAATAAACAAAATAAATCACCATGTTATTAAAAACATGTAAATATTAACATATTATAATTGACACAAAACTCGAATTCGGCTTTATGACTAGAATTTGACTAGAATTAAATATGATCATTCCTTAAAAAAGCAGTTCAATATTGATATACATTAAGAAAAAAATTATCCGTTATCCTTTTTTCGTTAATACATATAGATTGCGGTTACGATCTAAAATAGAAAGGAAACTTCTCGCCGATTTTCTTATAATATTATTATTTATATGTACAGTAGTATATCGCATGGCAAAGGTGACGCGAAATTGTTGCTTTCTAGTTGGTTTGCAAAGAATTGTGCCGCACCAATAGAAAATCAAACTTTATCAGCATGAGTATAAAGAGATGAAGAGAAAAAAAGAGTTCGGATTGATATTAATAAGAATGGATCTGCTTTGTTATTCAAGTTAACATACAGCAAAACTTGATCACGGTATAATATCTTTTACTTTAAAAAAAAATGTTTAAAAAAATAATGTATAATTAATTTTCGAGTTCGAGTTAGCATTTTTTTATGTTCGAGATGATATAAACTCGAGTCCATTCGAAGCTTTAAATGTGTATATTTCAAGTGAATATATATGTATTAATTCAAGACCAGAACCATTCCAAGAGGTAATCATTGTGTGTGTGTGTTAATGCAATTAATTACTTTGTTTTTTAATATATCAATCAATCATTATTATTCAGAACAAGCTGAGCAAAGGCATGAATAAAGATGCTATGTATAATATACTTAAAATAGAGGTTTAAATCTCATTTAAAATAGGGATCATTTTAAATAAATTACTTTTTGTCATCCGAGCCATAGTCATCATAAAAACGCGTTAAATAATAACATCGCTGCTATTATATATATAAAAATATGCAATTCTCAAGTCCACTCGTATGTATAATCACGTGATTAAAAAGATCATTGACACATTGTAATTGATCTACATTACGCATGTGTTTCTTTTCTATCGGAATATCAGAAAAAGGTAAATGGAAACAGTTTGGCCAAATTCACAAGCTCGATCTCAAATACAAAAGAATGAGTGGCAACGACAACCACCACCACAACAAAATCAGCGGAATCAAAATTGGACCAACGAGAAACAATGGCGATCGGATTGGCCTAATTCCTCCTCTCAGCAGCAACAAACGACATCAATTCAATATCATAAACAGCAACAAACACCATCATCATCAATAACAACATCAACAACAAAGGAAAAATCAAATGAAAATAATGATTCTAATGAACCTAAAAAAGATTTTGATATATCAACCGTTGACATAAAGGCTGCAGCGATGTCCTGGAATTCTTTTGCCAATCCTAACATAAAGGATAGAGATGATGGTTTGGGTTCAGGCCAATTACATCGTCAAGGAAAAAATTTTATTCCTGTTGATGAAGAGACTTTATTTGAAATACAGAATAGAAAAAATTATTATACGAAAAAATACAAAAAATTCACTCCCCCTCCCCCCCCTCCCCCTCCACCTAGATATTATAGAGATCCTATTCCTCTTTTTAGACCTAAGCCTACTTACGGATTTTCTCTGCCTCCTGTTTATAGACCACCACCATTACAGCCACCACCACCAATATCAGCATCAACATTAAATTATTATAATTATTACCAAAGAAGTCCTTATCAACAACGATATAATTTGTACAAACAACCTCCTTATTCACAAGATTATGTCAATTGGAAGCAAAATGTTACATATCAGGGTACCAATAATGTTAAAACTAATAATAATATCAATGTTAGAAATGATAACAACGATCATGTCAAAGGTGATGATAATGTTAAAAATAACAAGAATGATAATAGTATTAAAAATAATAATACTAATGATAGAAATGATAATGATAAATGCAATAAAGAAAACCGCAATAACAATAACAATGATAGCAATCATGATAATCATAATAATTCAACTACAATACCTTCAAGCTCTCTAAATTCACAATCTGATAAAAATCCTTCTTCACCAGTTCTACAACCTATTACAAATAAATCAACTAATGATAATAATAATATAGCATTCATTCCTCCAGGATTTGATTCAACCACACATTGGAATCAACCACCACCACAACCATCATCATTACTACCACCACAACCATTCCTTCGTCATCCTCCTCTTTCTTCTAATAATAATAATAATGGAATGCAGATAACCAAACTTGGAGAAAATGATAATTATTGTAGTAATTTTAATCAAGAAAATAATAATAATTGTGTTAATCAGAAACAAGATTATTATTATGACTCATGTTCAATGCTTGATCCAGTATTAGAACAGAATTACTCCACTAATCCAAAACGTGTTGATAAACATGATCGTGGTCAAATCCTATTAACAATAAACGTGGAATTCGAGGATGGTCATACTCAAGCAATCTGTGTTCATGTCAACGATGAACCTGCTGATTTGGCAAAAGATTTTTGTGATTTATGGGGGGTAACAAACCCGGTGGTAGAACCCGCATTTGAAGGTTTAATTAAAGAGGAAAAAGATAAAAGACTTGGTTCACTTTGATATTTTTAAGCTGATGATTTAATTAGGTTTATATATATAAATATATATATCTTAAGTCGTACGCAATAAATATTACCTTGTAATTTGTAAATTCTTATATATATATAAAATAGTAATAATAATATTATTATTATTATTACTGCTGCTACAGCTATTTTTTAATCTATTATACCTATGATTATTATAAATTTTATTTATTTATTATTATTGTCATTGAAAAAATAAGTAATTTTTTAATAATTTTGATTAATATTGAGGCCAACAAATTAATCAAAGAAGACAACCAAGCAAATCAAAACATCATTAACGCAAGTAAAGAATACCTATTTTTGAATAAATGTTGACCCTTTTTTTTTTTTGTAATGATTGAAGTAAATTTCGCAAAAATTTGTTACGCGCTCTCAAAAATTTCGGGAATGTGTATAGATTTTTTTATATAAGACCAATTAGTTAATTTAAACAATTTAATAATCTTTTTTTAATAAAAAATCTCTTCAATTCTGTCTTATCCAAGAGATTGATGGTTGAAAATTTTTTCAATGTTGGATTAGAATTATTTGTAAGAATTTTTGTGATATTAATATGTCGGCAATTTTTCTAAATTTGGTAATTTTCCACATTGAGTTCTTTTTTTAGTATTACGCAGCGAATCTCGATGTAGCGATACTAATACTGATTAAAAATCTCGGTTTTACGGATAAAAGTTCAAGAACGGTTCCATAATAAACCTTAATAAAAACCTTCTTGGTATAGTGGATTTCTCAGTTTAACGGATTTTTGGAAAAATTTCCCCGATACTAATTGCCCAAACTATCCGTTAAACTGAGATTTACTGTGTACTATGTTGTTTAACTCTAAAATTTACAACATAATAGCATATTAATGATAAATGACCTCATCTATAATTGTCCGGTGAAAACTCTCAACACCCAATTAATCAATCAAAAATTTTCAACACCTGATTAATCTAAATAATTGATGAATATCATTCGGCGGATACAACCACTAATTGTCACTCAATTCTCGTTTTAAAAGTTTTGAATCCAATTTTTGAGCATTTATAGGACTCGGTGATATCTGATGTCAAACAACGAATTCATAGCGATCAACAACTGCACTCTCTTAACCGTTCAGAATGTCAGGATGCAAACAAAATCATATCCAAAATACTTGATATTAATCCATGGAGCCCTACAAGGTTGATACCTTGTTCATCCGCAATATTCTTGACTTTGGACTAATTATGAATGAGCACATTGAAACTGTTGGAAAATTTCAGTAACAAAATCATTTCAGATCTATAAATACCTTTGACGTTGCTACCTTTCGATCTATTGATGTCAATATTGTTAATAAAAAGATAAACTGGGGTTAGCAGAGTTAGCATACACATACACCTATCTCTAATCGAGAAATCACCTGATTAAAAATTTTCATGATGACCTTTGTGAATTTAAATGGAACATTAGGAATTATAGGTTTATTCGCACATGATTTTATTGGTAGAAAGCATAATAAGAAAATGCACATGATTCAGGTAGTAACCTGGCAAAATTTTAAACTCTCGCACTCGGCGAGTAAATTACTCATACTCCATGTTTCAGGTAGTAATCTGACAGGAGGTGCCTTTCTAATGAAATTAACGATTAAAACAAGTACTAAAAAGACCCTTGATGTCATTTGGTGACTGGTGGTGATTGACGATCATATCGAAATTTGTAGAGGGGAAGTCCAAAAAAGACCAGTCAGATGGATTATTGTCGTTGAGATAGTCAATGAGGTCTGTAAGAATTTCGAATACAATCAGATTGACTGGAAAGAAGTCCCCCTACATTATTTGACTATTTCCGTTCACCTTTATAGCCAGATAGCATAATGGACATTCATTTATCACATAGTGACAAAATTTTATGCAACAAATTGAAAGAAAAAAGAGAAAAAAATTATTCCCTGTAGACATCAAAAATGAAAAAAAACCTGTGGTAGGTCACAATATATATATATTGTGACCTACTTACGTTAGACTGTTACCTACCTATGTGACCTATTTCGTTTTTTTGACCACATTTGAGTGCGGCCAATTTTTAATTTTTAGCCATCCAGATGAGTTGATTATAGTCTAGAAATTTGTATGTGGCCAATTTTTAATTTCCGACCACGTAAAAAAATAGTATTCATATGCGACCCGACAATGCATTCACTTGTATGGCGTCATTCGATTGCACGTTTTTGGCCACATTTATGTTGTCATTTGATGTTAAATCGGCTGTTGAATCAGGCGTTTAATCGGACGTTTAATCGGACGGTAAAAATGTGTATTCATACTTTGCATTCAGCTTCCAAAATGTAACAAACATGACTCTATCGTGAACCATTTTTCACGGTCAACTTTATGTAGCACTTCAGGAAAGTCAATCTCGAAGGCGGAATGTAACTCAATTTTTTGTGCCGTTCTCGTCCAAGAACAATTGTTTGCAATCTGTAATTTGCTTTGTGCATTGCATTTGAATGCAAGGATTAGGCCACTTGGTAATATGTAAAAGCACAAAATTTTCTTTATCTCTTCTTTATATTACCTCTTATCTGAATTTTTACTTTGATAAAAATTACCCGACACAAAATCCCCATGGTCCAGGTACCTTTGGTATTATTTTCCCGCAATTATTTTTCAATTTGAATTTTTTCCCGCATTTATTGTCTTACCTGAGATGAATAACTAGCTGAATGTAACAATCTCTCCTCTCCTAGTTAATAAATATTCGCCTAAATGTAGCAGTATACCCCCTGCCAGAGGTACACTACTAAACTATGCCATTGATACATCTTTTCGAGAAAGTGCTCTTCATGCATTAGATATGGTTTTTTTCCATTCCTTCATGAGTTCATCAAGCCATGCGGTACTTAATCCACTTTCTAGTATACAGTGACGCAATAACTCTCCGATCCTGATCTGTTAATTTCGAGCATTTTTTAGGATCTAATCCTTCCTTTACAGCATGACGATAAAAACGCATATCTCTTTCCAATTTATCACAGAAACGTTTTCCATCCCACATTTTTTTCTCGGACTCAGTAACGATCGAAAATTGTTCTGGATCCTCCCCAAGCTCAATAGCATATTGATGGAGACATTCCATTCTATCTGGATCAATTGGATGATTTTGAGTTGGTACCTCCAAGGATAAAGAATTTTCATAAATCACATTATTAGATAAGTCAGAGATTCTGTGCTCTGCACATTCTGAAGCAGTTTTTTTGGTAATAAGTACGGAATCGAAAAGATTCTGAACCTCTCCAGTCATCTTTGGCTTATATGGTGGAAGAACTGGAGTTATAGGATCGCGTGAATACCTAGTTATTTCATCTTGATTATCAAAACCAAGTCCTTTATATGGATTTCGGTCAATTTGGTATGAATATTTCCAAATCTGTTGTCCTTTAGTTCCCATCAATTTTCGTTAGCTTTTATAGTATAACCGCAATAGTTGCCAGCAATTGCATTAATTGCCTTTATAGCTGATTCAAGTTCTGGCATTTCTTTTGCACGAGACTTAAAGCCAAAGAGCAATAAAGATTGATTTCGAAGTTCTATAAACCTTTCACGAGATGTCTCAAATGCAACTTTCACTTGATCATCATAGAGAATTCGTTCATCATCTATACCAGTAAAACCCAATGATTGGGAAAGCTCCCGTATAGCTTCTCAATGATTTGCAGAATATGTTTTTATGTCCTTTGCTAATGAATCCTCAAAATTATCTTTAGTGTTATAACAAGTATCTTCCCATTGCACAATGTCCTTAGCCTTTAATCCTTCTATTGCACTGTTTTCATCATAACCTTGCTTGCGAAATTGAGACAATCGCAAGAAATGCTTTTGAGGTTCAGGTGAGCCAAAACGCTCTACAAAATTTTTATCGCAGAGTTTATTCCAAGATTCAATACTCATATCCTTTCCCCCATAAAAATTCCACATATAAAAAACGCTAAAGTGCCATAGTATTTTTAATGAAAAAATGGAACTATGAATTCCATATCAATATGATACATTTATTATTATTATTATGGAAAAAACACGGAAATGTATATTAATATTTATTAATATAAACGGAAAAAACTGAGTTTAATAACGAAAAAACTCTGAAACTAATCACAGAGTAAAATTTTACATGGCAGACATGCATTTACTTCCACCATGCTTTCCAAAAATTGTTTTTCACGAAGAGCCCAACCCAGTTCATTTTAAATTGAAAATTTTTAATTTAACATTTAGAAAAATATTTATTATATCAATTTTTTTCTCTAATGGACCATTTGGTTTAGGAAAAAATGTCCGTTATAGACAATAATTTATATATAGACATGTAAATTGGGCTTTCCGTTATTATTATATCAACTAGAACTATACAAAAAAGTAGAGAAATACTTAGCACCAAAATTACCAATCCAGAAGCAAAAAGACATAAATCTGTGATTGTCCCTGAACTTGAATTGGCTCTTAAGGAATTTGTTTTAGTTTACCAACACAAAGCAATCCTAAGTAATGCTATTTTAATTGAAAAGGCCAAGCAAATTGCAACTGGGTTAGGAGTTTCTGAAGGAACATTGAAATTTTCTACTGGATGGCTTGGAAAATTTAAAAATCGTAATGGAATTCGTCAAATAAAACTTCATGGGGAGGCATCATCAGCTGATCTAGCTGCCATTAGTGATGCTTTACCATTATTGAAAGGTAAATGTGGAAATTATCCTCCTGAAAGAATATATAATATGGACAAAACAGGACTTTTTTATAGGTAATTAATATTTTAATACCAATCTTTGATTATCCATATTTAAATTAAACAGAATTTGATCTTATTTTATTCTTTATAGATTAGAACATTAGCTACAAATAGACTTTCTGGTTGTAAAAAGAATAAAGAAAGACTTTCAATTGCTTTGTGTACAAATGCTGATGGATCACACAAGTTG